GTGGATATGGCTAAGGTTTTTTTTTTTTTTATTTATATACTATTGCTGAGTGTGTGTACATCAATTAATTAATTTCATTTTCTTTTGTTTTAAAGGGAGAAAAATATTTAAGAAATTTGTTTCATATCATTTCAAATGAAGTTTATTACGAAGAAGGACTAATGGTAAGTTTATAAATGTTTTCTGTAAGCTAATTTGCTTTTAAGTATAAACGACAATTATTTTATATCATCATTTTAAACTCCTTGATTGAAACATACAATAAAAAAATTTATGTAGGCCTTTATATTTATTATCTTTGACTATCAACCAATAAGGTTGAAATTGAGACGATTTCTCTTATGACCATACAAAGTTTTTTTAGTAGCTTCATAAAATATAGAATTTAAAGTTTACTAAATATTGGAGTATAATTTTTTTTTATAAACATTGCAACATTACAAACATTTACACAGGAAAGCCATGCCCCAAAATTATAAAATTTTAAATTAAATCTGTCAAAATTTATATTAACTTTTATTAAATTGTGTTTTTTATATACAAGTAGAAATGTATACCGAATTAAAAAATTCAGCAACGAGTCGCTTATTCTATTCGTTTTCTGGGTTAACATAGAGTCTTTTAGCTTTAAGCGCTCTGCCCTCCGATGATGCGATCGTACGATCCGTTTTTGCCAGCAGAAGCTTACTGCTTGGCCATACGCAGGGTGCAATGCCTTCTGAGAGGTCTTTTAAGGATAACTCGTCCGTATTCAGGCGTTACAGAAGTGGAGAAAACCCAAAAAATACAAGTGGCTAGCACGTCCTGGCGAGGTGCGAACCCACGGCCGAACTCTCAGTGTTCAGGGAATTAAACCCACAACCGAACTCCCACTGTTCAGGGATAAGAACCGCTTGGCCACTGGTGGGCCAATGAGTCGGCAACATTAATTTTCCCGACAACATTTAAAACTGCTTGTGGTGCTATCTGTTATGATGTTTTATTTTATAAACTTTTTATATTTTCCCTTTCATAAAATGACAAAAAGCTTCGTTTTGACGGTAGCGATGGATTTTATTTTTAAAAATTGTAAATGCTAATAACAAATAAAATCGTCATTAAATCAGTCCCTATTGAAGATACACACGACCCCATTTATCTCCTCACCCTCTCGATCTTTAATCAACAAAATTTAATAGCATCAATCATTCTAATAAACAAACCACCCTGAAAAATTTCAGAAATTTTCTACAAAAGGCACATTAGTTATTGACTTTGTGAGAAGGTGGACATAATCGTGCGCCATACATCCACAAACATCCATACATACAGAAAACACCGAATTTTGTTTTGCATTTCTCTACGTTGCAAAGTGTCCTCAGTTCAAAAATGTAAAAAATCTTGGGGGATCATTTTTGAACCGATCGCCATACTTTCCTTCTGTTATATAATGGGTGTTCTGTCAAGAGCATATAAACGGATAACATAAAATATGACCAAGACATAAAATACATTTACGACTCATAATTTTCGAAAAAAAAGTGAAAGAAAAGTATGACGTTATCACATCCGGTGCACGAAAAATAAGCTTTATTGGAAACATGAACATCGATACTTGCATATGAAATTATATAATGCTTACATAAGAAGATGCTAAAATGTCTACCTAGCATATCGAGGCATACATGCGCATTCCGTAGAAGGGCTGATTGCACACGATCCAGCATCCTGTTTACCAAGTGAACGCAGTATAAAGACAAGCAACCAAGTCGCGTTTTGTAGTGTTCAACAGTTGCGACAGTTACGTATGATCAGAGTACAATTCTCATCAATCAGGCCGCAGAAACATCAGCTCCGCTGGTCTGTAAACGAATGGACCATGCATACTCGACAATCGCATTATTTAACCATATCTGTTGCCTCAACGGCTCATGGGACATTCATAATTGTTATTTCTTCGTTATGTACGAACTAACTTCCTCGATGACATAGGCTTATCGGCAATACGTGGCCTATGATTCCATTCCAGCATGATGGAGCATTGGCGCATTTCTGTTGTCCTGTATGACGTATGTGTGATGATTGGATATGAAATAACAAGATCGATGGATTGGACGTGGGAATCCGGTTGAGTGGCTACTACGATCGCCAAATTTGTCACCTTCGGATTTCTTCCTAATTGGGCCATCGAAAAAATGGGTAAATCGGACCCTAGTTACTACAGAAAGCGAATTGGTTGCTCGTATGCATGTTGCGTTCAGTTTGGCTAACCAACAGATATAAAATTTATTATTTTCTGATTTATTACTTTTCCGGCTGTTATATATGTTATAACAGAAGGAAAGTATCGTAATCGGTCAAAAATGACCACCCAAGATTTTTACAGTTTTGGACCCAGGACACCTTGAAACATTGAGAATTACAAAAAGAATTCGAGTTAATTTTTCTGTATGTATGGATATTAGTATGTGTGTGGAGTGGCGGCAAGATTTTGTTCATCCTGTTTGAAGGTTAATAGCTCTGTGCATTTTACCGAAAATTTCCGGAATTTTTAAATAAGGTTTGATTTTTGGGAGAACTGGTGCTGTTAAATTTTGACGGTTAACGCTCGAAGGGGTGGGGAGATAACAACGGTGGTATGTATCTTCAGTAGGGTGAGACTTAATGACTATTTTACTGGTTATTAGCACTTATAATTTCTTGTAATATCCATTCCTACCGTCATAATTAAGCTTTTGGCTATTTTATAATAATCAAAAATATAAAAGTTTTTTAATAAAACATCATAACAGATAGCACCATCAAATGTTGCCGGGAAAGTTAAGCAACTCGTTGCTGGAATTTTTTACATTTAATTAATTAATATATGAACGTTTTCTAATGGCTTACAAATTTTTTTATAATAATGCATATTATGCATTATTATAAAGAATGCAATAATCATTTTTGTATGCAAGTTTAAACTGTTTCGATGTGAGTTTATTAATTATTACATTATCTTCCCATTCGTATCATTTGAAAAATTGTTTCTAAACGATCTCGACTTGGTTTATAAAGAAAAACAAACGTAAAAAGCCATTATCATTCTCAACATATTTATCAAACAATACTTTTATGTTTCTGATAAAAATCGAGAGCAGTGACTCCGCGCTAAGAAAATCAATAACTAACTATATATACTAGAATCATAGTTGCTGATTTCTCCGCACTCACCAAAACGTTTAAAATAATTTCGAACACGTCGTTCGAAAGGTAATTATTTTCTGAAAGTGTGCAAAATTCCAACATTTTCTATAATGCGGTTGCCGAAATAGAAGCAAACGAAAAGTACAAAAATCTCCAAAAAAGTTGTAGACAAAAAAACCGCGCTGGTAGACAAAAAAAAATACTAGGTTTATAAATTTCAAATTTTAAACCTAAGTTTTTCTCGTTATTGTGAGTTGCTAGTTAAACTTCCGAGTTGATAGGTCAAAGTTCACCAGGGATTCTCCATAGCGCTATTTTACTTTTATGGCTTAATCTTACGCTCATAAGGATAAAATTGCATGAAAACGAAAGATTTTCATTCAAAATGTTATCCGGAATAACAAAATCCTAAATTAATGCCAATTAAAACTTTTAAACCATATTTCTAAAGGGCGCGGCGTATCGAAAGAGTTCTGTTTGCAACACGTTCTGACAGCGATTAGCGATCGAATTGTACTGTACATCATTATCTTATGTCTTGATATAATAATATAGTTATTAAATAAAAACAATTGATATTTAAACAAAAACACCTGAGATGTAAAAAATTGCTCCAAGTAAAAATTTATGACAATTTAGACTGGTCAAAATTTTTCTTAGCAGCTTTTCTTTAGTAAACATAAGCTTGATGCGTAGAAGCGATATCCACAAGATTTTTACCTGTATTGTAGTTTTCTACAATTCGCCTCCAATCGCCAAGCTTATGTTTACTAAAGAAAAACTGATAAGAAAAATTTTGACCGTTGTCAACTTTGCCATAAACTTTTACTTGGCGCAATCTTTTACATCTCGGGTATTTTTGTTTGGATAAGTAATTTTTTTAAAGATATGAATATTTAATTTTTATTATTACTTTCATATGTTTTTAAAAACATGTAATTAAAGTTACATTTTACCAGAAATTTATTTTTTATATTTTTCATTTTTGAAGCTGAGTATTATGATAAAGAAATGTAATCCTCCATTTGGCTTAACATTATTTCATAAATTCTTAGTCACCAAATACACAATTTTTCAAGTAAGTTTTTTGTGTTTGTGTAGTTATAAAATATTGAAGATTTTAATATTATTATAATAACATTTTAAGAATTTACCAAAATAAAATTAATATAGATCTTTATATTTTTTACTGGAATGCAAAATTTCTTAAATCCGACTTGTAATTGTTTAAATATTGCTTTTGAACAGCTTTGCAGCGTATTTCTCTCGATTCACGTTTTCTTCCTGCAACTCAGATTTTTGAGGACAGAAGATTGAAGCTGGTTTATTCTTTTCAACTTATTCATTATAATATTATATAGTATTAATTTTGAATTCATATAAGAAATGGCGAAATCACGGACAGAGAACTGAAAATTAAATATATTAAATATGATTAAAAATGAATAATTTGAATGGACTGTATTGCATCACTTCGATAATTAATACAATTATATTACAGTAATTAAAATCTGTATTAACAATGCCGTTTTTAATATTTGATATGAAAACATTTAGTCCTTAGAATGTAATTAGGAAAATTAGTGATTAGTAATTAGTAATTTGTAATTAGTGAAAATTAGTGATTAATAATTAGTAATTTGTAATTAGTGAAAATAACTTAATATTTGTATGACTTATTACTTTTACATAATTAGTTTGTGTTCGGTTTCATTGCATAATTTTCTGTTTAAGTCAAAATTTGCAGACATTACCTGATATATTTGTATATGTTTATTTGAAAAACTAGTTGTAGCTTTAATTAAGAATAAAATTCAAAACAGTATTTGAAAATGGGTTCTAATTACTCTAAAACAATTTCAATATCTTACTTATGTAATTGTAAAGAGCATTATTTTGATCATTGTTTTGGATCACTAATGATACAATTCGTATCTTCTGTAAAGTAAAAACAATATTGTATTTGATGAGCGTATTATGTTATCAGTGAGAAGTTTTCTCGGTTGGTAGTTTAATTTTCGATTCTTATTCTATTTACTGTTTTGGCCTTTCATAAAATTGCCAATGTCGATTATTTATTTTTTGTAGCTTGAAGATGGAACGTTTTAATCTCAAAATGCATAGCGAATAAAAATTTCTTTTGCCAAAAAGACTTGTCTCCTGATTAATAATATAAAAGTTTTTTAAATAAAAATTCATAATAGCCGGAAAAGTTAAGAAACTCTCGTTGTTAGATTTTTCAAACATCAATTGATACAACAAAAATACAGACAATGATAAAAATATTATCATAGTCGATGACAGCAACGTAGACAAAATTGACTTTGACTTCTGTAGTAGAAGAAACGCATAGAAAATTAAATTCTCAATAATATAAGTAAATATGGCATTTAATCTGAAGCAGACAAAGGCAAGCACGCAATTAGAACAGAAATTGTGATTTTTATTACACATGCCATAGTAAGTGTAGCGTAAATTGTTAAAAATGTTAAATGGTTGATATCATTTCTAGCACAAATCGTGAAATGTTTCATGCACAAATCGTGAAAGTTCATATTTTGATCTTTACAACTAAACAGAAATATCATCAAGCCTACTAGGCTAAACTAATCTTCGTAATAAAATACATAATGCATCAATTCCAAGTAAACGTGATCCATTTTCACAAATTATTACAGATGGAAAGCGTAAAGCAGAATTCAGATGAAACAAATCATCTCTTGAAANTTTTAGTATTAAATACGTCAATACCAATTAATTTATCATATATATAAAATATAAAATTTATGATTTAGAAAAGTGATTATAATGACGTAGTTTTAATTTTTTATAGAAACAATAAAACGAATTTAAGTAATGAGTAGTAATAAGTAATGTAAATAAATGCATGATTTGAATTTTGTAATAGTCGTCAATTTTCATATTATCGACTACTATTTCGATCATGTTTGCTTATACAGAGGATGGTTTTCTAATTAAGACTCGAATTCACGATAGGATATCTCTTCTTCTACTTGTTTGAATATAAATCAAATTTTGAAAATTGTAGATGTTGCTTTTCTTTGCATTTTAAGAATGCTTGAATTCGATTGTTCTAAAAATGGAGGCAGCAGTTGCAAACGAAGTTGATCTACGCATTTAGCTTCTTTTGAATGGTCTTTCATTCCGCGCTGTCACTAAATTTCTCATTAAAAATGAAACTGAAGTTTTCGAGTCTACAGTGATCAGAGTTATTGGTAACAAAATGAAAAAGTGACAAGCGAGTGCTTTTGGTGAGTTGCACCCAATATTTCCAAGTGCACTCAAATCTTGGAGTAAGAAGAAGATAAGAAAAGTTAAGGAAATGATTAGAAAAGAAAATCCATTTAATAAAATAACACAACGTCTAAGTATATTTCAGTTCATGTTAACACCATTATACATGAAAATCTGCAAGCAGCTACCAAGAAAAAAGCGTCTGCACTTCGCCTCACATCTGCACAGAAACAGAACCGAACGACTAGCACAAAAAAAGATCTACGAGAGGCTCTGATTATGATTAACAAAAATAATTCTTTAAAAGTTTACTTAATTATAAACCAATCACAAGAAAATTAATGCAAAGAAATGAACACATTAAATACACGTAGATATAAATTTTAACACTATCCAATGGTAGTGCTTTATGGTCAGGCCAATTCTGATGGGTAAAGGGGAGACGAGACTGTTCTAATTACAGAAAATTATAACATTTCTGATCGTGCAATTTTCCGAGAAGATAAAATATTAATTATTCATATGACAATAGGTATTGATAATTCACTATTGCACAATTATCGTTATTACACAAATCATGAGAATTTTAGCCTGAAGAAAATTAAGACTTCATAAAATTAAAATACAGAAAGAGTTTAAATACCATATTGCTGGAAAACTAAAAAGTTCTCTCTTTATGATAAAGTAACTGCATATATTTCTATGATTTATTATAATGATTATTCGAAAAGTAAGTGCGAAATTATACTTGTTGTTTCAAAACGTATAATATTCAGTTTTGGACCGGTAGTGTTTTTTTAGTAAAATATATAGATCGAAGTTAATGAATGATATCTTTCTGCTGACCAGCTAAGCCGATATAATGCCTTTTACTTTAAAGTTGAAAGTGAAATAGAGATTTGGTAAATTTTCATAATATTTTGTAAAGAATTGAATTAGGCAATAATTAAATTTTCACGTTATACATGATATGAAATTACATATATCCTTACTTAATACTCTGATATAATTTGTCAATTTATTAAGTAAAATATAAAGTTATAAGTTTATGTCATAATCTGAAAAATATACTTTCAAGTTTATCTAAATTATTGTATTAATTTCATATTTCGTATTTTAAAGGGAAAAAAATACTTGAAAAATTTGTTTCGTATGATTTCATATCAAGTTTCGTACGAAGAAGGATTATTGGTGAGTTTAAAATTTGTATTTCAAATATCTAAATGAAATATACCTGAAATAATCTTAAATATGAAACATTTCGTTCTAATGATATTTTTTTGTGTAATTTGTATTTTTTACAGCACTTAATTTTATTCTGTCTATTATCATATATAAGTTGGGGCATTCCAATGGGTGGCTTTTATCGCTTTTAGAAGTATTCTAAGAAAGCTAAAAACCTTATATCAATCGAACTATTTGCAATCCTTATTCGGTCATTTTTACAGTACTTTATTGCTTCGCATCGAAGGTGCAAAATTTCTCCTTCTTTCTCGTATCTCTTGTTTGTTTTATTGTTACGGCAACGCAACACTTGGGTGATCTGCAGTCCGGGAGGACAAAGCAGAAAGGACGACCAGTGAAGATGACAGCCAACCGCTCTGACACCGGAATCGAATCCAAACGGGTCGAAAAATCCTCAGAATTTTTCGGCGGTAGTCCGTCCTGATCGATCGGGCAATGTTTCTCACCCGAATTGTGAGCATGGCCGAATCCATAATGGGCTTGCAAGAAGAAGCCATTTTACTGCCAACAGGGCGAAAAATTAAAAAAAAAAAAAATCTGTTCATAGGTGATTCTGCGTTATTTTTAAAAGTAGTAGGCCTATCTTTATTTGCATACCTAGAAGTTCTGCTCTCTCTGGTATGATACCTTTTCTACTTTCCCCGCATTTTTCGTTTTTTATGTTTTTTTTTCAGTCTATTTCGTTCTTACTGCAATCCTTTGTACATTTTAATGAGTTAAAACTATTATAAATATTGACGTTTAGATACAATTCAAAAGAAGTTTCTCATATTAAAAACACTGTTGATTGGTTTGTGGTAAGACATTAAACGTATTTTATAAAAAATGAGTAAAACTTTATTCACTGCTTTATTGTATCGATGAAATAAGAAAATTGCAAGAACATTTCTATTCTGTTAATTATTTAAAAAGTTGTTTCTTAAACATTTGTATGTCCAGTCTCTAACTTTATCTGTATTTTAGATACAGTTTTAAGAGACTTGACGTAAACTATTTTGCTGAAAGTACTAATAGAAGTTCTGTGAACAACTGGAAAACATGCCAATGGATGTTTGATTGTGCCTACAATAGATATATATTTACACATATATTTTTACTGTTTTGCATTTCTTAGCATGAAATTATTTACATTAGCTGAAATGTATAAATTGTTTATGGTATTGTTAGGAAGGTTAAGAAACTAGTTGCTGGATTTTTTATAATAGATGTTTACCTAAATAAATATTTTGATAAATAATACTTATTGCAATTTTAAAAAAAAACAAAGATTAAATTCATATTTTGTGTTATGGATTCAGAAGAGAAAAACATACAACAGCATCGATTATTAGTTTGTGTATCAAGGAATGTGACATTGGCAAAGAACAATCGCCTAAAAATCCAGGGGTATGTGAACTACTGACGATTGTGTTTCTTTGCATGAAGTAGTAGGCCTATATTATAAATTTGGTGTTTTCTGTTTTTACTATTAGGTCAAGAATGGAAAAACTTCTTGGCGTTTACGTACGAAAGGACAAGAACGAGTAAAACATCAATTATTTATTTCAGGGTAAAGTAGATTTTGAAAGTATGGTAAAAAAAAATTAAGTTTATGCCATTAATGCAAATTTATTTATACCACTAATGACATAATAATTTCATAATTCCATTAGATATATATTGCATATGATCAATATTATCATCCTAATCGATTTTTCTAAGTAAGAACTGCGTAATATAATTTCTTAATGACACCTTAAGAGCTAAAAGCAGATTCAATCAATTGTCAATTAGGCAAAACCTTTTATCAATAAATAACATAAAGCAGAATACAACTTTATGTAGTTCCTAAATTGTGTATTGTCTCTGAACACACAGTTTAGGAATTAAGTGAAAAAAACAGCGTATCTCGAAAAGTTGCATACTCCATGGGTTATATAAGCACATTAATAAGAAGTTGCATATCAATGTGCTGGCAAATTTCAAACACAAAGTTTTTTTTTTGGTAAACTTCTGGATATTGGATACCTCGTTTTCTACCAAGCCCGTCAATTAGTAAATCACATAGA